TTTTTAGTAATGAAATCCCAGAGAAATCTTTTCAATGTTGTGCTCTGGTGAGAATTTCTCCTAGGCAAAGGTAGTTCTGAGTCACAGAATGGACTTTTCTTTGCAAGAACTCTGGACTTTCTGCTCTAGAAATGTTCAGCTGAACTCTGTTGTCACACTTGCAAGAGATTTCTTTTTTTCCTGGAAACTACTGAACTGATGTTGCCAAATCCAAACAGTGTATGATTAAGTAGAACGGTTTTGTAGTGGCTTCCAGTAACCAAATTGTATCTATTGATGGCTTTTGTAGGTACCAGCCTCCAAATCTAGCTATTTCTACCCTGTACTGGAAGGCCTGGCCTCTCCTGCTTGTAGTGGCTGCATTCAATCCTGAAAACATTGGTGAGTGTGAGCATTTTCCTGGGTACCAGTTCTGCTGCAACAACTGGCTAAGGGGCTAGCAAGTGTGCTGTGCTGCATGCTCCTCGTGTGTGTGAGAATAAACAGTGAGGGGGTTTCGACTGGCATGCGACTGGAGTCAGTGTCTGGGCCCTGAGTGTGGTGGGATGTTCCACAGTAAGCTTGTCTCTCCATGACTTGGATTGTGATAGAATCTCTGTAAAAGCTCTGACTTTTTCCTGTTTTCCTGAATACCTTTCTCTTCTATGCTGTAGGTCTGGCTGCATGGGAGGAGTACCCCTCTCTAAAGATGCTCATGGAAATGGTCATGACAAAGTTAGTACGTCTAGATCCCTCTATAAATTGAGTGTTTCTGAATTCAGCTTGTGTCTGTTGGCTTCTTCCATTTAGTGGAGCTGGCAGTAGTGCTGCTGTTTGAGTGGGAAAGGAGTTTTCCCCCAGGAGAACATAACCAGCAAGGGCTGACTGTGATGTAAATTTGCTGAAAGGCTCTCAGTCTCCCTGGCACTGCTGGGAAGGTGCCTTTTTGTGTGTGTGTGTTTTCCCTAATAACATGGGGACGTTCTTGTTTCATAAGTCTTAAATGGGGCAAGATAACTGGTCTTTTTCTTGTTTTCTCAGTAATTACTCCTATCCTCAATGTACCTTGACGGATGAGGAGACACGCACAGAGATGATTAATCGTGAGCTTCAAATCTCCCAGAGGGAAAAACAGGAGATCCTTGCATTTGAGGGTCATCTGGCTGCCGCGTCCACAAAACAAACCATCACAGAGAGCAGCAGCCTCTTGCTATCCCAGCTGACAAGTCTGGACCCTCAGTGAGTACCTTTGTACTCTGTTGGTGTTGGGAAATCCCAGTTAATCCTGGTCAGGAACTCCTGCTGCTAATAAGGAGGTTGGTGGGGATAGGATATGTAGGATATGTGTTGCAACTTGTATGTAGTCTTCATGCACTGCTGAACTGGCTGATCACAGTGAAAGTGTGCCTTGTATGTGATTAACCTCTTGTTTCTCTGGCAGGGGCCCTCCACGCAGGCCTCCACCGCATGTCCTGGAGCAGGTGAAAAGCCTGAACCAGTCCCTTCGCTTGGGCCACCTCCTGTGTCGAAGTCGTCATCCTGACTTTCTTCTCAACATCATTCAAAGGCAGGTAAGCTCCACGGATGGATTGGCAAAATTAGGATCTGATCTCTTCTCTCTAAAGCTTAAGCAGAGTGAGGGACAGGAGGGAGCTGAGTGTGGTGCAGGAAAGGGTTGCTTATTGCCCATGAAACGATTAGTGCTGCGGCAATGTTCTGCTGATCCTGCGTTGTCATTCCTTGCTTCATAGGCTTCATCGCAGTCAATGCCATGGCTGGCAGATCTGGTTCAATCCAGTGAGGGCTCCTTGGATGTCTTACCTGTGCAGTGCCTTTGTGAATTCTTGCTTCATGATGCTGCTGATGAGTCGACCTCAGGTGAAGAAGAGGAGGAGGGTGAGAGTAAAGAGCAGCGTGCCAAGAAACGCCAGGTGAGTGGTCCGTGGGGCTCAGTTCTGTTACCTGCTTTCAGTGTATCCTGGATTTGTTTTCACTGGGAAGGCCAACTTCTCGCTCCACAGAGACAACAGAAACAAAGGCAGCTGCTTGGACGGTTGCAAGACTTGCTTTTGGGTCCCAAGGCAGATGAACAGACAACCTGTGAGGTGCTTGACTATTTCCTGCGACGCCTGAGTTCATCCCAGGTGGCTTCACGGGTCCTGGCCATGAAGGTGAGCAAAAGAAAAATCTTTTCAACTAGGGCTTATCAGAAGCTGAGGGTTGAGAGCAGTGTTTTGTATCATCCTTCTTGGCTAACTCCTCTCGATCTCCAGGCCCCATCAATTGCACTTGTGCTTCCTGCTGCTCAGAATCTTCTCTGTCCAACAGCCAAATACCATTTTAAGATAAAGCTGGATTTTGCTGTTTCCTGTGAAGTTCACGTGTAGACTCAGCAGATTGTGAAGTACAAGGAGTAATTGGCAGCAGCTGTTTTCTGTGGGGAGTGTAAATTAGTAAATGCCTGGTGCTCTAAAGCACAGTCAAGGCAGGCAGAATTGCAGAGTTTGAGATTATGCTTACAGAGGACTGAAACTTTAAGCAGGGTAGCTGTCAAGCAAACAAGTTATATGTTGGAGGTTTTGTGTGTGGCAGTTGGATCACTCCCTGATGTCTGAAGCTTGTTTCTCTTCTACTCACTGGTATGAAACTGGTGGGTCCAGCTGTGGCCTCATACACACAGGCTGTGTTTGTGTGATTTCTGCAGGGCTTGTCTTTGGTGCTATCAGAAGGAGGACTGCGGGATGGAGAGGAGAAAGATCACCCCATGGAAGAAGACTCTGGTGATTCTGAACTGCTGCAGGGTTATCAGTGGCTACTGAGAGACCTCCCAAGGCTGCCACTGTTTGACAGCGTTAGAGCAACAACAGCTGTTGCCTTGCAGCAGGTAGGTGTTACCTGGAAGGGATAAGTGACCAGCTCCTGGGCAAATATTCTTTATCCTGCTCATGCTAAAACAGATCTGAGCAAACTGTGTGGCTGTGGTGTTGTCGTTTCTATGTTCTCACAGAAGAGCATACTTTCTGCTGGTGCTTCTTTTCATCACTTCCTGATCTCTAATGAGAACCGTGTCATTCTAGGCCATCCACATGGAGACAGATCCCCAGACCATCAGTGCTTACCTGGTGTACCTCTCCCAACATGCTCCTGTGGAGGAGCAGGGACAGCATAATGACCTTGCTCTGGTGAGAGACAGGGATGCAAAGACAGAGGGATTGCACGGGGAGCCCTGATGTGTTGAACTTGTTGCCCAGGGCAGTGGTGGCTTGCTGTACCAGCAGGATGGGGTTTTTGGGAGCATGTGAAATTGATAACTGCGTGGTTGTGCTTCTGGGTATTTGATGGAGGGCAGCTTGTGTGTTTGGTTTCATATTCAAACAGAAGATCAGAGTCACGATCTCCAGTCTAGCAGCCCATCTCGGATAGTATGGGGAATGCAAGAGCAGGTAGTGTTTTGAAGGGAATGTCACCATATGGCAGCATTTCTCAAGTAAGCAGGTGTTAAACCTGCATGTGTCTGGAGAGAGAATGGAAAGTCAGGAACCTTAGTGGTGGAATATTCACTCTTCTGTAACTGAAATTGAATTTCTGACTCTTTTTTTTTTTTTTTTTCCTTGTTCAAGTCTGGTGATTTTGGGATGGTTGGCTTGTATACTGTGGTTATTCATTGTTCTCACTCTGGGTGCTTTTTTCATAGCTTTATAAGTCCACTGACCAACATCCTTTGTAACAGTCTTCTAGAGGCTCACTTGCATGGATCTAGAGATTCAAAGGCTCTTTCTGCTTTTTGTAGATCCTTTTAAACATATGGGTGTTGCTAAATGTTCAGAGAAACACCGTTCTTACTATGCAAATACTGGTAAATGCTCCCTTTTCATGGGATGCATTAGAAAGCATCTGTGCTACAACTTGGGAGCCTGTAAGTTTTCACAAGATGCATGCAAATTGCTTGGTCTTTGCAATCTGATGATTCCTGTCCTTTCTACATGTGTTGGTCTCCAGAATCACGTTAACTGGGCTGACGATGGAAACTGGAGGATGCAGCTTAGTAAGGCAGGAGGTTCTGCCTGTGTTCCTTTTGTAAAGACCTCACAGATGTGTTTCTCTTGCAGGATGTAGCCCGGCTCATAGTGGAGCGCTCCACCATCATGTCTCACCTCTTCTCCAAGCTGTCATACTGTGCTGAGTCAGATGCAGTACTTGTTGCTCTTCTGTCCATCTTCTCTCGCTACATCAAATGCATGCGCCAGAGTAAGGAGGGCGAGGAGGTGTACAGATGGGTGAGTTCCTCCCTACCTTTTGTAGGCAGGTAGAAGAATGTTAACACAAAATGTGCCCATGTGGGCTGCTGAAAATGTAGAAGCTGTGTCTGGTTCAAAAATTTCCTGATCTGAGAATAGTTGGAGGTTGATGTAGTATCAAAAGTGTGTGTGTGTATACATAAACATCACTTTGTTTTCCTTATCTTCTTTTGCCACTGTTGGAGATACTGGGGCTAGGTTGAACTTGGGTCTGAACAGACTTGTCCATTCTTATAGTTTCCTTTCACCTGCTTCTCACAGTACTCATTTCCTGTTCTTTCCCCACCATTGCTCATCTGTTTGTTTTTCTCCTTTTTTCCCAGTCGGAGTCACAGGATCAGGTATTCCTTCGTTGGACTAGTGGTGAAACAGCCACTATGCATATCCTTGTGGTGCATGCCATGGTCATTCTCCTGACACTAGGGCCACCTCAAGGTTAGTAACTGTACTCAGATTTGTTCAAGGGGTGCTGGGCTGCACAGAGGGTCTCTATCTGTGTAACAGGTTAGGTCAGTGCTAATTCTACCCACAGTTGTCCTTTGCAACATTTGCTAACAGCTGTAGTATTCTAATAGATATTGCTGCACTGAGTGAAGGATTTACAGGCTTATTTGCTGCCTTCTGCAGAGAGCAGAAAGTATTGAAATGGTGTGTCCCTCCCTGCTAAACAAGGACTTCAAGGATTATTGTGGGATGAGAACTGGGCACTCAAATACACACAGGTCACATTTCCATTTGATAGTGTTTATTCCTAAGTTGTCTCTAGCCTTTGAGCAAGAAAGGGTTTTGGTGGATTGATTTGTACAGAGAAGGATAGAATATTCTAGGTCCTTATGTTCATAACAAAGATTTTTGTGTCTGCTTTTAAGCAGGGGATGGTGATTTTTACACATTATTGGATATATGGTTCCCGGAGAAAAAGCCCCTTCCTACTGCTTTTCTGGTTGACACCTCAGAGGAGGCCTTGCTGCTCCCCGACTGGCTAAAGCTGCGCATGATCCGCTCTGAGGTCCCGCGGCTCGTGGATGCAGGTGAGCCTGTGGGATGTTTGCTGGTGTTTCAGACCCTCCTGTAGGGAAGGTTGTCTGCTCTGCTCGGTTCTTCTGTGCGTCCAACTACGTGGGTGCTTTTGTCAGAGCAGACCTTGCAGTGAGCTGCTTTTGTGTGCAGCTGAGTGACGGTGACTATTACTTCTAAAGCAGGGGAGAGCTTGTACAGCTTCTGTGTTTTCTGTGTGCTTTGAAGGAAACAGGTGACTGTTATTTGGATACTATCTACACTATAACAATTCAGCTCAAATTAAAGTACGCAATCACCAGACACCAGGCGCAGCTTTGCTTCTATAGGATGTGGTGTGCTTGCAATGTGGAGAGCAGTTGTCTGAAGAATGCAGGCTGTATCTGCAGTTACTTCTGTCCTTGCACAGCTTATCAGTGCTGTCTTTTCTTCCTGGTGTTCAGAGCTTTGTCCCTTTCTTGCTAATTAAATGACAGCTCTCTATAGCCAGTGATTGAATTATTCAATAACTCCTGCCTGCAGCCATTAACAGAGAGGGTGGAAGTTATTTTTTTAATATGGATGATTGAGTTCCTGAGGTTTTGATCAAATTAAACAGGAGATCAAATTAGTCAGTGAGTGAATTAACTGAAAGATGCCGTAAGAAGGCAGTGATTTGCAGAGCAGCGTAGGCAGCAGTCAGACTTCTGGCTTTAGGCTCTCTGCAGTCCTGTCATTAATGTGTTGCTTGGTCCAGCCAAAAGTACAATACCAGGTAATAAAGATGACCCTTTGTAAGCAATTTGGTGATCTGGGAACTCAGTGCTTTTGTATTTCAGCCCTGCAGGACCTGGAGCCACAGCAGCTGCTTCTCTTTGTTCAGTCCTTTGGAATCCCAGTTTCCAGCATGAGCAAACTTCTGCAGTACCTGGATCAAGCAGTATCTCATGACCCACAGACACTGGAGCAGAACATTATGGACAAGAGTAAGAGCTTTGCTGAGGTTAACTAGGCATTTTCCTTTGTCTTAAACAGTCATTGTGAGTACATCCCGTGACTTCCTTGTGTAAAACCCAAACTAGTTCACTGGACTCTGTGGCAGCTGCTTTGGTGGCTCGTTGCCTCTGTCGAGACCACCCTAGTTCTTGTCCAGATGGCCCTTGACTGTATTTCCCGAAGAAGAGAAGGGTTTTTCTGAACTGGATTGTACAAAGTACAAATAGTCTGGAGGCTCAACTGTAAAAGAAACAGGCCTCATTTGCATCATGTTTACGAAGTCCAAATGAACAGCAGAATGTCTCCTCTGTGGTAGCTACACAAGCAGCCACCAATTCTGTACTGCTTTACTGAAGAGGGAGAAGTAACGTATTCATATCTTGTCCTTTTTTCAGACTACATGGCTCACCTTGTGGAGGTTCAGCATGAAAGAGGAGCGACAGGAGGCCAGACTTTCCACTCCCTGCTCACAGCCTCCTTACCAGCCCGCCGAGGTACTGTCCAGGATAGCTTAAACTTCAGAATATCCAAGTTGTCTTTCAAATGTCTTTGCTGCTCGAGGGAGGAATTCCAGCATTATTGGAGTCCTCTATAGTTTTTTGTTCCAAGTAGTATGGAAAAGCAGGTATTGCTTTGCCTTGAGGGAAAAGCTACTGGATTTCTCAGTACCTAGAGACAGGGAAGCTGAAGATGATTCAGTACTGGGGCTCCAGATGCTACTTATCATAACAATATTTTCCTTTCTTTTTTTTTTTATTCTTACTACAGACAGTGCTGAGACTGCAAAGTCAAAATCTAGCCCTGAGAGCAATCAAGGCCAGAGCCGAATCCGGGCCTTAAGCCAGGTTCGGGTTCTGGGCCCAGAAGATGATCTAGCAGGCATCTTCCTGCAGGTACTGGTATAGCCTCGAGCTGGTTGTCCATCACCTCCTTTCCTGCAGCACCTTTGCAAAATCCATATTGTTTATTTGCCTCTTTTGCTCCATTCTTCCTGCAGTGTTTGTAGGTAGGGAATAGGAGAGCCCAGCAGTAAGGCTGTGCTCTTACAGTCTGGCAGAGTTGATGCTGGATGGACTTGTTTTTTCGTGTATTCTGAACATGATGTGGCTTTTGATCACGCCTAATACTGTCAGTGCCTGCAAGCACGTTACCATCTCTGCATCTTGTTTGTTCTGTGTATGGTGCCTTTCGTCTCAGCAGTGCATGGAGGATTTGTGAAATGCTCACAGGGCCTCGGCAACAAAGCTGTATGCAAACAGCCTTTGTGCTTTGACATGTCTGCTAGCAGAGCCTTCCTCTCTCTGTTGACTTCAAAACAAACCTTTGGGGAATTAATTGGACAAGTTGATTGCCTGTATTTGGGTAGTGCAGTGATCCCCCATGGTGTCAGTGTTGACAGTCGGGTTGGTTTTGCATAGGTGCTGTTCCTGTAGCAGGCACTAGAATATTGAAAAAGCTGTGTCAAGGTTCTAGTTGGTTCGCAGTCGGTCTGATCATACAAGGCAGATTGATCCTCTGCCTCGGGGTACTTTGTGGTATGGAAAGTCCTTTCATTTGCTTTCATAGACATATTCTGTTCTGCATCCTACCAGCTTTTCCCAATAAATCCAGACCCACGGTGGCAGAATTCAAACCTGCGCCCGCTTGCCCTGGCATTACAGCAGGCCCTGGGGCAGGAGCTGGCTCAAATCCGCCAAGGAAACACACAGGTGACCGGGATCACAGCACAACTTCTGCAGGCAGTAGCTGCACTGATGAACTCACCACACAGTGGTGCACTGGTGATGGCTATGCATCGTAACCACTTCATCTCCTGCCCACTGATGCGCCAGCTGCACCAGTATCAGGTGAGTGGTGCTGGACAAGAATCTCTGTAGCATTGAACAAAGTAGGCTGGGGAGGAAACTAAATCTGCTGTGCATCTAGTCTGTTGTGTGCAGATTTTCTACCTGTGTAATGCTAAAAACACAGCTTGGGAGCATAATACAAAGGGACTTAAGTTGTCTGAAGGTAAGACAGCTGAATGCCAGTTGGCCATGTTAGCCTAGCACTGCTGAGAGTTGGGGCTTACCTTCAGGGCTAGGTGAACCTGAAGCAACATAGTAACGGTGGCACTGTGGGTTTGCAGCTGTGAGTCCCCTGTTTTGGAGTCTCCAGTCTATGCTGTTGTGTAGCATGGACATGTCTTGTAAGCCAGAGCATCTGCAGACAGTTTATGAAAGGAAGCCTGTAATTCCTTAAGGAGAACTTCAGGGCAGGCTAAGAGTTACCAGTAAAATATCTCATTCCTTTCATGGTGGAAGAAGGCACAAAGCTACCCTTAATTATGCTTAGAGAGGTATTTTGTTTGTGACTGATGTTTTCTGCCTTGTGTTTCCATGTCAGAGGCTGTTGCCTTGATTTCAGTGAGGTATGGTCCAACAGAACATACACCATGGTGTACTCTGTATTCATGGCACTATGTGCCACTGTCTGCCCCTTCTGCTATCTTTGTTTTATTCTTGAAGTGTGTGTAAGAAGGTGTCTTTTGCTGCTCTCCCCAGCGCTGCATGCCACAAGACACTGCTTTCTCCTCCCTCTTCTTCAAAGTCCTCATGCAGATACTGCAGTGGTTGGACAACCCTGCAGTGGAAGATGGTCCTCTGCGTGCTCAGCTGAAGGGTTTTGCTGTGCAGTACTCCTCAAGGCACAGGATCAGTGACGGTACTGGCATTGTGCAGCTTGTGGGGCTCTGAGTGGACCAAGTGGGTTCAGAAAGGGACAGAAACAAAGCTAGTTTGCAGTAGACATTTGTTAGCATCTGAGTAAGCAGAGCAGATTTCTCAGGGAAAACTTCCATTTGCTCAGGTAAGGAATCCCATACTAGCTGTAGACCTGGAAGATGAGCATGCAAGAATGCTCATGGAACAAGGTCATGTCATGACTTGTAGTTATTGTCATCTGCCATCTGTTGGGAAGAGACTGTCACCGAGAGCTTCATCAGGGAAATGAGTTTGTGGTTGTAGAGTATTCTCTTAATCCACATTGTCCCTGAGAGCTGTCAAGAGCTGCAGAGGGAGTCGAATGACAGTGGGATGTTGTGGGTGTGTATGTTTGAGTAGTCGTGTGCCACTACAACGTGGTGCCTCTGTGGAAGAGAGACCTGGTGTTGCTTGTCCCTCAGATGCCAACGCTGTAATTTCTTTGCAGTTCGAGGTGGTTTCTTGCACCTCACAGAAGCTCTGACTTTCCGTCATGACCCTGACTTGATCAGCTCCACAGTACGTGCCATTATTGCAACCCTGAAATCAGGAGAGAAGGGTAATGTGGAGCCAGAGCTCATCAGCAAAGGTATGACTGTCTTCCTGCTCTCCTCTCTATCGCAGCAGCAGGTTGAAATTCCAGCACAGTGAGGGAGTACCTCATAGATAGGCAGTGGGAAGCAGGAAAATGCAAACTGATCTAAATGTGGCCTATTTTATATCACCTCCTTTCCCTGTGCTGGTATGTGGGTTTGTCAGCTGTGACCTAGGACTGACTTACAGCAAACTGTCAGTTTCTGCTCACCTAATGAGAAATAGAAGTCTGCTATTCCAGATAGAAATGGTTTCTCTCTTCCTTACTGAGCCAATCTCTGGTTGATTGCCTTCATGAGACACTTAGAGCGTTGCATAGCTTTGACCACACACTGAGGTTAGTGACATCTCTTTACCTCTGCTAGTCCTTCAGGGCCTGATTGAAACTCACTCTCCGTACTTGGAGGAACTCCTCACAGTCCTCTTCTCAGCTACTGTTGAGACTCCTGCCAGATTTCCTGCCATGAAACCAATTGCTGTGGTGAGCTCCTTGTTGCTCCAGGACAAGGAAGAGACAACAGTGAAGAAAGAACTGGATAGTTGCAGGTGAGCCTATGCAACGATGGGAACTCAGTGGGAGGTCTGGTTTCCTGGCATCACCTCTGATACTGGCTTTGTTTTTTCTGCAGTACCGAAGCTGCTTGGCTGGGGCCGTCCTCTGGCCTTTTGAATGACTGGCTGGAGATGTTGGACCCAGAGGTGATCAGCAGCTGCCCTGATCTCCAGCAGAAACTACTGTTCTCCTGGAACAAGGTAAGAGTTGTTGGGTAGAGAGACTGATGTGCTAAAACCACCTTTGTGGGGTGCTGACCTACACCGTGAAAAAGAGTTATGGTGGAGTTTTATGTTTTGCCACATGTTACCATAACTGTTTGAGAGCAGCACGGTCTGACTAACAGAGATTCTGGTGCATCCTTCTCAGTACGAGGCACATTTTCATCTTATCTTTGTACTTCTTCAGCCCTGTTCTTTTCAGGACTTCAAAGAGTGTTACAGACACAATGTAGTCCCATAATAGCCTAGCACTCTGTGTTTTCATGTGTATTTTTGAAGACAGTTAAGTAGCCTGCCCAGAAGTGCTATACCAAAGCTAAGGCTAAAGCTGAATGTCATGACTTCCGCCATGTTTTAAACAGAACTGCAGTTCAAATCCTCAATCCACTTGTTCTGTGCTGTGCTGTCTGCTTGCTTGGATTGCCATCATCGTCTCTTGTGTCCACCTAACAGCAGGAATCTGTTCATACATCTCGATTTTTGGTCCTTTCAGGCAGGATCCCAGGTGCCCTCCTTCCGCCCGTATCTCTTGGCTCTTCTCACTCATCAATCTAGCTGGACTACGCTGCACCAGTGCATCAAGCTTCTGCTTTGCAGAAACCGAGAGCAGAGGTGAGTCTTAGTGGTGGGGTTTTTTTTGAGCCTAGCAGAGTTCTGAGTTGGGCAATTTGCTGTCTGAGAGAACAATCAGAAGCTGAGAACAAGAGCTGCTGAGTTCTGAGGTGCGTGTGCCAAGAGATGCAGCTCAGCCAAAAACAGGCTTTGCGAGAAGGATGCTGATTTCAGACATGCTGATTTGTGTACCTTGATTTAAATATTACCTGCTGCTTGATGGAAAGAGCACATAAAGATTTGGCTGTGTTTTAAATAGGAAATACTAATCGTTTAGGTAATCCATCTAGCACTGCCCTTGTTGATAATCTTTATGAACGTGGGGACTGAAAGATGGCTTGGGTGGCCAACCAAAGGGAGCCTGTGTACCTGGGCAGGCTCTGCTGGATCCACTGCTTGTACTAAACTCCATTACCAGTCTTTCTCTAGCCCAGTTCTGATCCTGGGAGCTCCCTAGCTCTCAGCTCCTGTATGTTGCTCTCAGATACTGGAGTTTTACTGCAGTAGTAGTATCTTGCTTACATTTCTTACACTTGCAGACCAGAATGCACTAACAGCTAGTAAGTAGCGAGGCAGGGCATGATTAAACTAACAGTATTTCTAAAGCCAGCAATATTTGTTTCCTGCAATTTCTTTATTGATTTGCTCACTAACAATTTAATTTCTGCAATCCAGGATAGCAGGCAGGATGTTCTGCACACTGCAACATGAAGATCACTGGTCGTCTTGCATCAGCTGTAATGTTTGTGACAGACTTTTGGCCTTGTGGTGCATGACTGCGCAGCCACTGTACTGTTGTTGAATGCCATTTGTTGGGCACCATACCTGTGTTGTGCTTACTGCAACAAATATTTAGTCATAATCTGGGAACAGAACCAAGCCCCTTCTTGGGACTTAATGGATCCTATTTTTACATCTTGCAGATGTTTTTCCTTCACAGTACTTGTGATGTTTAGAGACAGTGTTTGCGTGCTGCCTGAGGGCTGCATTGACTCTAATTGCAAATCTGTCTTCTTTTGTCTTCTGGCAGGTTTGATCCAACTGCTTCGTTGGATTTCTTGTGGGCCTGTATTCATATCCCTCGGATCTGGCAGGGAAGGGACCAAAGAACTCCTCAGGTAGTGGTTCAGTTCTTCCAAGTTTCCTGTCTGGATGGAGTGAGAGGTGATTCTTTCATATCGCATGACTTGTCATGGCCAAGAGGCAACTGAAGTGATACAGGTGCAGTGTGCCAAATTTGCTGCCTGTACCTCAGCTGGTTGCCTAGCTGCTCTACTCCATTATATATTACAATGGCAATTTTGGGTTCAGAAAGCTCATTTGAGCACACATAAGTTTGCCCCCTTGACATTTCCTCTGCAGCTCCTGCAGAGTTGCTACAATATCTATTAAAGATCTAGTCAAAAAGCTACAGCAATGAGCAAGCTAAAACCCAGCGTGGGATAATTCCCACTTTGCCATGAAAAGGCAGTTTTAATCTCTTTTTGAGTTTCCACATTACTTAAGTCTCATCTTAAGAGATGCTCCTGTCTGTCTGGGGGAAGTGTGACTAGAACTAAGGATCTAGGGATTCAGCTGGGATTTATTTTGTGTTCTGCATTGCAGAAGCGCCGTGAGGAATTTGTGCTCCATCTAAAGGCATCAGAATTGATCAGCATGGTGGAGCTGATCCTGGCTGAAGCAGAAACCAGATACCAGAACACAGAAGAGGCTTCCTGCACGCTCATCCAGTCTCGACTGCCCCTGTTGCTCAGTTGTTCTCACGGGGACCTTGAGAGCATGAAAAAAGTAACAGAGTATTTGACCAGCTGCATCCAGCAGTGGGGTAGCAGGTGGGGTCGCAAATGAAAACTACTCTAATTGTAGTTACTTGGGCACAGGCAGCCAGGTAATGATGAGACTTGACAGCACGTCTTCATTAGCAAGTGTTCTAGAGCCCATATAACAAGTGCTTCCCACACATTATCTTCCCAGACGTTTTAGGAGAGTAAAATGTCACTCTGAAGTGTTACTAGAACCAAGAAGGTCACCTTAAAAGTGAAATTGCAGGGCATGTTTTCTTTCAGGAATTTTGGCATAAGATGTTCAACATTACTTTTTTTTTTTTTTGTCAGCTGTTGTTCTTAATTACCAGTTCCTAATGTAGAATTTCTTGTCTGCTCATGCCTTGAATCATTGCTTATAATGCAAACTGTGCTGATTATTATGATTGTTTTCTAGCAGCTGTGTTAGCACTGTTGGGAAAGCAGCACATAGTGTCTTTGTGTCAGTGGAGCAAATTGACCTAATTTTAACTTCATTTATGGTAATAGAAAAGATGCCTCGTAATTTCAGTTGCTCCTGCATGGTGATGCATCTCAGGCAGGTGTGCTAATTGTGAACAGGCCAGTCTGAATAGTTGCACTTCTGACTTACTTTTTTGAGCTGTTGATGACCACGAGTACTACATAGAGGAATTCTGCTCACTGGAGATGGAAGCAG